GCTGAGATAAGAATTAAATGGGTTAGAATATTCAATATCCTTAAAAGTGGCTCACATTTAGTAAACATAAACACAGTTGTCATTGCTGTTACTGTCCTCAATATGTTTTGGGGATAAGAGTAAAGATGACTTAATTCTGCAAACGTCAACAACAGTCTTCTTTTAAATTCACACTCTGAGCCTCTGATAGTTTTCATGAAAATAAGGCACATAGATACAGAAAGGATTACTACACTGTATCAGAGACTATATATGTCTCATTACAATTTAATATCAAAAATTGAAAATCTCTGCAAACCTCATACAAATAGTTTTAACTACCTAATTTAGAGATTTAAAAACAAATCTTTGCATGGTGTGCACTGGTTGCTTATTTTGGTTTAATAATGACAAAATAATATTTTTGTGTGTAACAAGCAGAATAAATTATTATATTAACAGCAAGCATCAGTTTTTTCTTAGGGAACTACCCAGATAAACTACTCAGAGTGGAAATTCAACTTCTTAGAGATGAACTAGTATGAGATGAGGCCAGGTATAAAAAGTTAAACTATTCGGCATTGAAAATAAAAAAGAACTTGGGAACAAAAGGAGAAGAAAGAAGGTATTGCAGAGTATATTACAGAACAGCAAAATGACTGCAAGAAAAGAAGTCCCAAATACTAAATTTTAAGATTTGGGATTGCTTTTTATTTAGTTTGTGTGTTTGTTTGTTTTGCAATGCAACACCTTGACATTCACATATACAAACATTCCCTCCAACACCTTAGATAAGTCAGGTTAACTGGCAAACTTTTGTTTTTTATTTATTTATTTATTTCAATTTTTCATATTCCAATGCAAATAATAATTTTTAAAAGAGGCAATTTTTCCACATCTCCCTTGACATAGTTTGGGACAGGGACAACCTGTGAGATAAGAATGCTATCACTTCCGTAGAAATAGCTCTACTCCTGGTATTATTGGAACACAACCCTCTCCATTGCAAAACAAACAAACCAACAAATAAAAAGTAATTCCAAATCTTAAAATTTAGTATTGGGGTCTTCTTTTCTTACAGTCATTTTGCTGTTCTGTCATACACTCTTCAATACCTTCTTTCTTCTCCTTTTTGTTCCCAAGTTCTTTTTATTTTTAATTCCAAGTAGTTTAACTTTCTATACTATGACCTCATCTTCCTCTCCCAGAATTCTCAGAACCCTCTCCACTGGGAATTTTCAGAAATTGTCAATCTGTGTTCCCCAGTCACTGCCTCTAGTCACTGTCTCCACCTCTTCTCGAACCCCACGCCCATTTGTTCATAAACACACCCATCAGGTCTTTGCTCTAGAAATGTTCTTGTCAAGGTCACTAGTGAGCTTAATGCTGTTAGCCTCAGTGAATAGTTAATTCTCAGTCCTCATCTGACTTGACTTACCATGAATTATTTACTCATTGAAATGCTTTCTTCATCAGATGCTCCAGATACCATGAACATCTGGTTTCCTCAGTGGCTTAACCAGATGCTCCTTTTCAGTAGCCTTTACTGGCTCTTAATTTCTCTCACCTCTGAACACTGGATCATCCCTCTTTGTTCCTTTTCTCTTTTCTATATGTTCTTACTGTCTTGGTAATTCCATCCAGTTTCATAGCTTTATATATCATAACACACTTGCAAGTATATATCTTTAGCCAGATTACTTGCTCAAATTCTATATTTATAAATTCAGCTGTCTACTTGAATGTCTTACAGATCTCAAAGTGCCACCTAAATGTTTACTAGACATGTCAGTCTCTAAAATGATCTTCCTCCACAATCATTCTGTCTCAGTAAGTGGCAATTCCATCTTTCGAGTTCTCAGGTCAAACCCAAGGAGTCACTCTTGATGCTTCTCTTTCTCTCACATCTTATACTTTGTTCATCAGTAAATTCTATTGTATTAACTTTCAACATATATCCAGCATTGGACGCCCTTCTGACCACATCATTATTAACATCCTCATCCAAGTAACCAACATATTTCACCTAAATTTTGCCCTACCCTTTTGACTGGTCTTCATGCCTCTGCCCTTTCTTCCTACATCAAAGTCTCTCAATCTTGGCCATAATTACATTTTGGACTAAATATTTACTTGTTGTGAAGAGCTATCCTATGAACTGTAGGATGATTAGCAGTATCCCTAACCTCTACCAACCAAATGCCAGTAGCATGTAACCTACTCACCCTATCTAACAAAAATGCCTCCAGACATTGCCAAATGTTCCTGAGGGACAAACTTGCCCCCAATTGAGAAACAGTACCCCACAGTACCCTACAGTGTATTCTCAACTCAGCCACAGAATGACCCTTTACAATATAAGCCAGATTATATAATGCCTCTGCTTAAAACTGACCAATAGATTTCCAGCTCGCCAAAAAAAAAAAAAAAAAAGATAAAGAAAAAGAAAAAAGCTAATCTTTACCACAGTCTCTCAACCAGCCACCTGCCCTTACTCCTTGACCCTATCTCCTACTTCTTACCCCTCTACTCACTCTGGTCCAGTCACACTTACCACTTTGGTCTTTTTGCTGTTCCTCAAACACAGTAGGAGTACTCTTACCTCAAAGTTCAAGCACTTTGTTTGTTCCCTCTGCCTATAGTCCTCGCCCCATGATATCTATCTACAGGGTGTATTTGTTTACTTCTTGGATTTCTTCACTCAAAAGCCATCTTCCCAATGAAGTCTTCCATGATTAACCATTTTAAAAACTCAGGCCCTTTTCCATGACCCATCTCACACACACTCCCTATTCCCCTGTTCTAGCCTTATTTTTAATGGCATGTATTTCTATCTAATATGATATAAATGTTAATAATTGCTTTAATGTCTGATTCCACCCAGTAGAATGCAAAGCCCCAGGAGGGAGAGGAATTTTGTCTATTTTATTGACTACTGTTTCACACAGAAAAATGCCTATGGTAAAACACTCAATAAATGCTTATAGAACTAATGAGGGAAGGCAGAAGGGGTAGAATTGGTTTTGAAAACATCTTTAGATAGATCTGAGGGGTCACAGAAGCCTCAGTTTATATCTAGGATACATCTACATGATCATTAAAAAAGTTGGTTTCCACAGAATTTATTTAAAGTATAATTTATAATATACAATGGAATGTAGGAATTTGTCAAGACGTGTCTTTGCTTATGGATATTTATCTAGGGGGTAGTTAGAAAGCATATTAATAATTCCATTACAATATAGATCTATGTATCTATAGATATATAAAACAAACGGAACCTTAAGAGAAATTTTATGAAGCACCATGGGCTGTGGTAACGCCCCTAAATGTGTAAAAAGCAATATGCTGGGATAAGTCAAATCATTCAATTATTTACACCATAAGGTAGCTTATCAAGTAACAGTAATGGTGAACAAAGCCCTTTTCTACAGAAGAAAGCCTGCATGGTTCAATTGTTAGTGAAACAGAGGAACAGAAATGCTTCCTGCTGCAAGCTGACAGTTACACGGAACCCCCTGAAGTTATAAATTGAGTTCCTCCGCTAATTCCTGGTCTGAAGGGGACAGAGAAAGATCCACATTTTATTTCTCTTGCTGAACTTGCAGCATAAGCACTTGTGAATTTTACATCAGGGTCAAGCTGGGAAGTTCCCAACTAGTTATATCTGGAGTAGATAACAGTCATCTCCCATGCAAAGGAGGTCAGGTATTCCTTTCTGCCTTGAGTGACTACCAGGAAGATTTCAGAGTAGCATATTCTAACAGAAAAGTTGATACATGGGAAAAGAGAAAAGGAAAACAGAACAAAATAAAACATTGATTCTATCTGAAATAAAAATTTGCCTATGGAATCTAAGAGTACATATTTTTAAAAGACCTTAGAACTTTGTAATATCACTCATAAAAATTGTATGTCACATTTGTTGATAATAATATCAACTATTCTGTCAACTTTCTGAACTAACTACTTATTGTAAGGCCAATAAACCTACACAGCAGGCAGGTACTGTAATGAAACAGACCCAGTTCTCCAGGGAAGAGAACCTGCGGTTCAAACACTAACACTTTTGATCAAGTAGGCACTTTATTCTTGTCAATGAGAAATACCTTTTATGTGGAACCTGATCAAAAATGCTCGTGGGAAGTATAAGGGATGAGGAAGGATAAGAAGGGAACAAAGAACAGTTGTGATGTAATATTTCAAAACACATTTTTCTGAGAGGAAAAATAACTTCAACATTTCTAATTCATGTATGTATCTTTTCTAAATTACTGGGAAGTCATAGTTCACAGTAGCCTCATTCAAATTAGGATACCAAATCAATTCACTTATTCATTAAACCAACAATTATTATACACAGTCTCTTATAAAAGGAAGAAATGTAAGAACATCCACAGAGAATACAATCTCCATTATTGCTAAATTACCTTCTCTCTTCTTTTTATTATATTTACAATAACTGTGTACTAGAAATACGGTTGGAAAAAAATAATCTAAAGGAAACATACACTGAAGTCTGACATCTGAAAATTTGGAAAAAGAAACAAACAATGAATGCCTTCTCCAGGAATACTGAATAATTTTTGGAATCATCAAGACCTGATTTAAAATCCCAGCTCCTTCTTCTTACCGACTGTCTGTATAAATGGAAAGCTTCCAACACCTCAAATCTCTCATATGAAAAATATCCTACCCACATGGTAGTTGTGGTGATTCAATATGATGTTGTCAAGTACCCCTTCATAGTACATATTCAGCAAATTATAGGTATTTGGGTTACCTTTTAGAGTCCTAAACTAACGCAATACCTTTTTAATTTCCACAAGCACTTATTGGCAAAACTCCAAAAATACTAAATTTTATTTTACCTTTTGAAAAACAATTATTTCCCATGCTTATCTTCTCTAAAAATATAAACTTCAAATTTTCCATGCTTCTGAATATTTCAAATAAACATGTGAAAAAGAAATTTCACCTTCAAGGATCTCTTCCCATAAGATAAGCAAGAAAATTCTTACCTAGTTTTGGCAAGGAATAGGGCACTTTAAAGTAGTCTTCATAAAATTCTATTAATCTCTTTGTTATATGAAGAGCATAGTCCCCGGATCCTCTTCTGATAGCATCGGGTCTTGCATATAATCGTACCTAATTAAAAATATATATAAAAGTTACTTTAGTCTTTTGGCATTTGAGTTTTATATTCCCTACAAATACAAATATACACAAAGCTCTTTGAATAAGACAAAAATTAAACAGGATTCTTGTTCATGTAGTATATGAAAGTACACTGTGGCTGAAAGAACCAAACTTAAACAATTGAAGTAACCAAGTTAAGCAAGTCACAATTTCCTTGCATTACAAGATGACATAGAGAAGATGTATATGCCTTGCATCAAAATAAATATTCAAAGTTATCACTTGCATGTGCTTGCTAGAGATAGGAAGGTATGGTGGATTAGTATAATGGGTCCCTGACTATGCTGAAAGTAGGCAGGATATAGTGACTTGGCAGGAGAGAAAATTCATGGTTTGTTAAAGACACGTCGTACTAAGCTTTGGAAGTATTAACAGATTGAGAATACATATATATAAATAATTTATGCTTCCCTCTTTTCTTTGGAATCAACTGTCCTTATTCCCAATATGCAAAATAGAAATGGAAAACTTTTCATGTACATAAGTAATCACCATTCTAGAAGGCTGTTTGCAACCGCTCCTGGCTTCAAAACCAGCAGAAGTAATTCTTATTTCCAACACAATCCAGATACCTAATATTGATTTTTAAAGCAAGAATCATATATTATCTAGTCCTTGGTCAAAACAAAAAAAGCCTAAAGCCAGTAACATAAAACTGAACAAAACTAACAATGTACAGAAAAGGTTAAAATGAGATTAGTTTTCATAAAGCTTTCATAAAGCTATCCAGCATCTTTCTTTCCAAAAGCTAAATCTATTTTTCACAGATGTGGTCCCTAATCCTCATAAAAATTCTGTGAATAAGAAATATGTATTTTGTGGAGCAATAGAGAGCACAGTGGCTTGGGAGTTGGATTTTGGTCCTACTCTGCCACTAACCAAGCTGGGTGATATTGAACAAATTACTTAACCTCTTTGGGTCTCAAATGTTCTCATTTATAAAATGGAAGTGTTGGCCACCAGCTGGTTGCTAAAGTGCTTTTCCATTCTAAAACACATTACTTCCAATCCCATTTTACAGATAAAGGAGTTTGTGTTCTTTTCAAATCACTAGAAAAATAAATGGTTTATACTGTATATGGAGGCAGATAACTATTCAATAGGAAAACAAGAGAAAGTTGGACTCAATCATGACATAAAAATGATTATACAATCAACTCTATTATCCATGCCTAAGGAGAGAAAACAGAGATGTGCATCACCAAAAATAATAGAAAATCAAGGAAAATACATTCTGACTTTATGTTAGAAAAACCTATATTTCAATAAGGTTTTTACTAGATGGTACAACACTTATTTACTAAATTGCGAAGTTACTTCCTTACCATCAACCAAATCAAACACCAAATTGAGTTTACAGCCTCCAACATTTTGGGCTGGCAGGAATAGAAAAACTACCAGGAGAGACCACCCACAACAGCAGAACTTGAAGCACTTAGAAAGGCTGTCCCTGTCCCTGACATCAACTGTTTATAAATACGCATTGTCTTAACTAAAGTTCTCAAGAAGCAGATTCTAAGAAAAGGGTAAGTGTATAAGTGATTTGATAAAGAATTGCTCTCAGGAGAAGCTTGAAAGGATGTTGGGAAAGCAGGATAAGGGAGAATAATAAGCCTAGCAAGGGTGCAATCTGAGGTGAAGTCCCAGACTCAGCCTGATCAACAAACTCTAGAGTGTGAATTACACTGGCGAGTTTATTCTGCCTTGAGACAAGAAAACTAGACTCCCATACTCTTGCTCCTCAGTCATTGGTTACTGGTTACCAAAGAGAGGATATAAAATCCCAGGCACAATAGGCTCGGTGGCTCAGCCTGTAACCCCGCGCTTTGGAAGGCTGAGGTGAGCGGATTGCCTGAGCCTGTGCGTTCGAGATCCGCCTGGGCAACTTGGCGAGACCTCATCTCTGCAATAAATCAAAAAGTTAGCCAGGCGTGGTAGCGCGCGCCTGTAGTTCCAGCTACTTGGAAGACTGAGGTGGAAGGATCACCGGAGCCCAGCAGGTCAAGGCAGCAGTGACCGGGAGCAGACATTGCACTCCAGTCTGGGCAACAGAGTGAGGCTCCAACTCAAAAAAAAAAAAAAAAAAAATTCCCAGGCTCTTCTATTTTTTGAAGCATATGAGTGACACAGGTCTCTTGGAGGTGTCAGGAGGGGCTGTTAGAAGAAAAACAGCTGGAGCTAGAGAATGAGCACACCAAATTAGAAAGAAATCTAGTTTGTATAACAACTGGTTCCTCCAGAAACAGTAAACATTTATTTTGCATTCATGCATTCAAACAAATATTCATTTGGTCCTTGCCTTATAGCAGGGCCTAGACTAAGCATTTTTAATTTATCAATGAAGAAGACAATGTTCTCTAACCAAAGTGGATACAAAGCATTATTGGAACAAAAGGAATAAAGATGCAATCACTATTCTCAAAAAGTGTCTCATTTACTAGGTAAGTTAGATAGTGACAATAGACAATGATACATGGCATATGAATGGTAAAATAGAAATGTTAAATGGATACTGAGGAAGAATCAATAGCTTTCGGAAAGTTCTATGTGAAGTAACTAGTAAATTCATGTTAAAACCACACCCAGGACTACTACAAAATGATGCAGCAAGGGTCACTGATTCTGCTCTTAGGATGCATCATTGATTTTGATAGAAATACAGCCATTCCTATCAATCAATTCTACCAGTTAGTCATGCTATCTATGGACTCAGACAAGAAAAACACTATTAAATCAATCTGGTTGTCAAGTTTTCATGGAAATGATCCAATTTGAGTGAAATGATAAAACATACACATGCTTAGCACAGTGTCTTCATTTGTTCATTCAAACCTTTGCTGCATACCTGCTGTATGCCAGACATTGTACTAAGGAATAGAAACAGAACAATAAAATTTCTACTACAAAATAAACAAGATATTTATACTTACTGCATTTTGGAGGTTCATAATATATGGAAAACAAATAAATGAACTAACAAAAAAAAAATACAATGTGAGAAATACAACAGTATGCTCTGCCATCCCTACTGATGAGCTCCTATTCAAGGCTAAGCCCTTCATATTCTATTCTCTAGCCTTTTCAAATCCCTTTATCTTCCACATCACCAATTTATACTTTCATACTGGATCATTCTCATCCAAAAACAAATATTCTATGCTGTTTTCCTTTGTTTTAAAAAAATCTGTCTTGACCAAAATTTCTTTAGTTATGATTTTCAGCCAAGCTTCTTCAAAGAGTTTTCTGTGTAGTTAGAATGAACATGTAAGTTAAATAAGTTAAATAAGAACACTTTTGAGAAAGGGAACACTTACAACCTGGGACAATAGGTGGAGGTAGGGTGTTTGCCTATTTATACTCCATTTCTAGTCTCCCTTGAACTCATTGCAAAAAGGCTCTTATCCCCACTAGCCTACCAAAACTGTTCTCATCAAGGTCACTAATGGCCTCAGGATGCCAAATCTAACAGTCACTTCTCAGTCTTCAACATGCTTCAGCTGTTAGCAGCATTTGCACAATTGATCATTTAACTATTCTTAAAATACTTTCTTCACTTGGTTTCTCTTACTTTTCCTTCTATCTCATGGGCCACTCCTCAGTCTCTTGGTCCTGGCTGACTTCTCCTTCCTTTCATCCCAACCACTTTTTGATATTAGAGGGCCCCAGGTCTCAGTTCATATACTTTTTTTTTTTTTTTTCTATACTCAATCCCTTAGTGATAACATCAAGTTTCATGGTCATAAGATATCATTTATATGCCCAAAATTTATCCAATTCGTTCGGACTTTCAGATTCATTAATTCAACTGCCCACTTGATATCTCCACCTGGAAACTAATAGGTATCTCAATCTTAGCATTTTTACGACCAAACTCCTGATATCAAACACACACACACACACACACACACACACACACAACATACACACACAATAAATAAACATACACACACACACACACACACACACACAACTAATTCTTTCCCATCTTGGTCAATGGCAATTCTATTCTTCCATCAAATTGTCCAAGTCTAACACTTAAGCATCATCCTTGTTTTCCCTCTTTCAGTTGGTCAGCAAATCTTATTGGCTCTGCCTTAAAAGATATATCCAGAATCCACCACATCTCACAGCCCCATTACTACCACCCTAGATCAAGCCTCTCCCATTTCTTGCCTGGATAATTGTTTTACTTTCCTATTGATGCCTCATAGCTTGCTCCCTTCAGTCTGTTATCTACACAGCAACAAAGATTTTCCTGTTAAAATGGGCATCAAATCATGTCATTATTCTGCTTTTCCTCCTCTGGTGGCTTCTCATCTCATTCAGAGTAAAAACAAGGGCTGTAAAATCTCTGTACAGGCAGGGTTCGGTGGCTCAGTCTGTAATCCCAGCACTTTGAGAGGCCGAGGCGAGTGGATTGCCTGAGATTGCAGGTTCAAGACACACCTGGGCAACTTGGCAAGACCTTGTCTCTACAATAAAAAGACAAAAAAAAATTAGCCAGGCGTGGTAGCGCGCACCTGTAGTTCCAGCTGCTCGAAGGCTGAGGCAGAAGAATCGCCAGAGCCCAGCAGGTTGAGGCTGTGGTGGCCGGCAGCATGCCACTGCACTCCAGTCTGAGTAACAGAGTGAGGCTCCAACTCAAAAAAAAAAAAAAAATCTCTGTACAAATCTAGTCCCTTTTAGTTCTCTGGCTTCACTTTCTAGTACTTTTTTCCACACAAAGTGCAACTAATTCATGTACTAGTTTCTCTGCCATTCCTCAAATATACCAGAGAGACTCCTCATCAAGGTTTTTGCATTTTCCCCTAGATAGCTCCATGGTTTATTCCTTCATCTTCTTTAGATACTTTAGAGATTATGTCCAAATCTCTCACTTTCTGAGAAGCCTTCCCTGCTACCCCAGGATTCTCTGCTCCTCTTCTCTAACTAATTATTTCCTGAAACAT